AACAAGATCGACCTCGGACCAGTCAACGCCAATGATATGGGGATGGAGTGTAGACGCATCGTAGAACGCGTTTTCGTTTGAAGTTGACGTCTTGTTTGAGAGTAGATGTGACAGATTTGCGTAGAATAGGGTAAGATGTTATCATGAACGGAGATGAAAGGGCTTTTCCAACACGGAGATGTAGCATGGATCAAAGCATTTGTTGGATTTCAGCTTTTACAAGCGGACATCAACGCAGTAGTATTTTAGCAAGCTTACGAACGCATATAGGATACCATCAGGATTGTCATTGGTAAGTTGAAGAGGAGATACTTTTACGATGTAAATGACAGTAGAAATAAGTCCTACATATGTTGTTGTACTTCGTATTGGTTTAATATTCATGTAGAGTATGAGACATTAAGTGAAAGTTTTCTGAGGTACATCTGCAATTGTCGGAAGGCAAAAATAAATAAATAAATAAATGGACATGTTTTCTACATTACAACAACGTGGAATTCGACCCCAAAGTGGGGGGATGCATAAGTACATAGAGGCCGGCGGCTCAACGTAAGCCGTTAAAACATTGACGTCTCCATCCAGAACATGCGGAGGGGAAGAGAATGATCTTGCGAGCTCAGCTGAGCAGTGCGTGTGGTTGTGTTGTGTGAAGTTCCCACGGGGGGGTCGTGACGTTACCGCTCGGGGTACCCGTTCGAACCATTTTTGATCCGTGTGGTACGGCAACTGTCTGGCCTCAGCAGGCACACGCAGCAAACCCAGACACCCGTCCGACCTCATCCATCTCTCTTCAGGTGGTACGGACACAACCTGTGCAGCAATGGGAGGAGAAGTCGAAGAGACAAAGGAGATCCCTCCTCTGCAGCAGCTCCGAGAATGTCTGCTGGACCGTGATGAGCCGATCGCCAAGCGGACACACTCAGCGTTTTTCCTGCGGACCTTGGGTAGTGCTGAGGCCGTCAGCGCCGTTGGGGAAGGTGTGTTTGTGTGTGTGTGTGTGTGTGCCAGCGTCCGTCTCTGTTTGTAATGCGATAGGGGGTGGGGGTGGAAGCGTCGGACGTGGTAGCGATGCATGGGTCGTGCCTGTTGTGGTGCGGCCCTCGGCTCTAGATTTGGGGTCAAGGTGCGGCGTATCATAGACCAAGTGCCGTGTTGCCTGCCTTCGAGAGCGAGTACGAGTTGTCGAGTCATAGGACACCCCAACTGGCAGACCAACGCTATTAGGGCGTCAAGAGGGTGATGTTGGCAGATCTCGTCTGTCATCCGGTTTTCATACCCTTATGGTCATAGTGCAATCGAGCCTTGAAAGTCGTCTATTGGGGATTTGCCCCTAGACTCGCTCTCACAGCAGCCGTGTGTCATGTGCATTCGGGGTACATTCGTGGGCGTGTTCAACATGGCCCAGAGACACAGCAGCAGCCTCCGCGATGGTACTATATTAATCTTGGTTTCAGTAGGGGGTACGGGATCGGGGGTAAGGGTTATTGACGGGGATAGGGATAGGGGAAGGAAACCCCCCTCTCTATGCCATAAACAAGAAAAAGAATATCCTCGAGCAGGCCCGAACCCAACGCTGGCTGCTACGAGAAGCACTATTTAGGATTCAACCGCCAGATAAGTGCTTTTGCAGCCGCCTACAGCAGTATTTGTGTGTGTTTTAATTATTACTGTAGCATCGACCGCGCTAACCGGCTGACCAATGAAAAGACGTCAGTCTCAGTGCGGGTGAAAACCAAGAACACTTCGAAATGCCATGAACTGGGACCCTGTGAGGGAGCGGCATGGGGGAGACTAACCTATTCTCCGGATCAAAGACAGAAACTGCGCACGTTTCCGAAGGCTGCTACTTTCCACTCGATTTCGTTTTGGAGTGCGTTCACCGTCATCCTCCTTCCTTCCAACTCTATCGTTCTCATGGTCGTTTTCACATCAACTTTTCGACATTTCGCCTCTAGCCCTGCGTCGTTTGTGGTGGGGAAGGTCATCTGGCTCGAAGCTCTTGCTCTCTTCCACGCCATTATTCCCTCCTCGACTGCTGCTTTGGTCTCTGTCTTGTCCTCCTATCGTTCCCTGTCCTCCTCCTTCATCGCTGCCAAACGAATTCCGGTCATTGCCATCCTGGTCGTTCCTAGTTGCACTACTACCGATATCCCAATATATTGGCCGTGGTGGGAACTGATCGAGAAGTAGTCCGTGACGTTGAAAGACATCACGAGTTCACACGTATAGAAAACGAGCCAACTCAAAGGTAAACCGTTTCCGAATTCTATTGGTATGAAAAGCCTTGAGGCTAGGCAATGCTGTTTCGTCGTCGAAATTACCCTTGCAAGAGGCTTCATACGCCAAGTGGTTGGCGATGGCTACGATTTGTCGATTTGTGCCTTTGCCAAGACCACCATACGCTGAAAAAGCAGCAGTAAGGAGAGTAGATCTAGACGGGTTGAAAATTCCCGCATAGTGGTTTGCCTTACGTGGAGCTCGATCTTCGAGGGCGGATCCTGGCTTTTGGATCGACTTGTCGATGTTTCGACCTGCGGATGGGTTAACGATTGTTATGTCTAGAAGAATGGACTTGGTGCAGACTTCCTCATCTCCTGCATGTAGTCCTGGTGGAATCACCAAATCCATCTTGTAGAGCCCCTTTCCCCCACCAATGCCTGTAGTAGGAGGGGAAGAGTCTTAGGCGGCGATAGGTATGTGGCATTCGCGTAACGTCTATAGTATCACGCGAACCATCCTGCTGTGCAGGAAAGTCGAGGCACCGGTCTTTGTACAGACCAGGGAGTGGTGTCGGCTCAACCGTTCCTCTCACGGCGACAATGCACCTGCACCGCAAAGTCTGTCTGTGTCACATTCAGTTTGATCGTGGCTCCCCAGCACACGACCGATTGACTCTCGATACAAGTCAGGTAGCATTCGTTAATCTGGCGACAGTCCTTGGGTTGTCAGCCACGACAAAGCTCCCTTGCCTTTCACTTCCTCCAAGCGGACCAACGCCCCCTTTTTTACCTCTCCTGTGATCCGACCCTTTTGAAGTCTGCTTCCACCGTATGGCGCACTGCCGCATGAGGAGGTTTCGATAGGACAGCTTGAGCCCCAAAAACTTGGTAATGCCGGCCAAATTAATTTCGACCGCATGTTGATGGTATTTGATGTTTATTGTCAGCGTTATCACCTCCATTGCTTCTCCCCACCTTCCCAGTCTCCATGAGAATAACTCCTCGACGGGTGGGAGTCAAATCTTCACATGTGACCAGTTTAGCCCATGACTGACAACAGCTTCTTCAAGCTTAGCTTTGGTGATGATCTCCTCCAGCTTCTTGAGAGAGTCAATCAGAGCCAATCCTGTTGGTAGCTGTGCAAGTTTGGGCAGACATTGCTCAAGGGTGAATCCTGTCGATGCTTGTACTGACGTGGAGAACACCAGTGCCTGACAGGCTACATTCATAGGCTAGACGTTGCTCGTGATCCCGAGTCCCCCTTCAAGTATGGGCAGGTGTATCTGTGCCCGTACTTGTGTGTGTTTGTGTCGCAATGTAAATGTTGCTCGATGCGCTCCGCGAACAGCGGCAATTTTCTATTTTCTATTGAGCATCAACTGCCGTCCACGTCTCCCCCTGCGGTTGCCCCCCAGCTCTCTTGGTGGAGGAAGACTCGGCCCTGCTCCGTCACGAGCTAGCCTACATCCTTGGTGAGATGGAATATAGTCTGTACGTATCGCATTTGTACAGCATAGGATGTTGTACATGTGCGCGAAAGGGGTGCGCGGCTGCGCTGCTTACCTGCGGAAGTCCATGGAGTTCTCCCCTTAAATGCGTCTTTTCGTGTACGGAATATACTGCATTTTCTAAGCAAAACATGCGCATGCATGCTGTACGCTATATATCGGCCAATCCCCACGGGCAGGCCAAATGCAGGACGAAGCAGCTTGCGAAACGCTCGAGAAGGTGCTCGGAAACACGTCCGACGACTGCATGGTCAGGCACGAGGTGGGCGAGTACTGTACGGGAGTGGAACTTGGGCAGGGGGACGAACGGTACCCATAAAAAAAAACATGCCTTGCGGCTACCAGATTGTTGACCCTAGGCTGCCAAATGGTGGGTGCATGTCTGCTTTCCTTCCGTTTGAGCACTGACTGAACGCTTGCTGTGTGTGCTGTCTAATTCTTGGGCGTATGTGCTGACTGTTTTTCGCCGACGTATGTGTGGTTCGCTTTCGTCTTGTGCTTGATTTGTAGGCTGCGGAAGCGCTTGGCGCCATCGGGGCGGACAGCTCCGTTCCGGCGCTGGAGCGATTTGCTTCGGACCCGGCGCCAGAGGTGTCCCAGGTGCAAAGATCCATTCTGCGTTCCTATCGCATGGACGAGCTCAAAAACTAATGGAGTAAAAGAATATGCATAAGAGAAGTGTGGAAGAATGAAGCACTCGCGAGCTCCTCGTATTTGATGCTAGAGGCGAACAGACCGAGACGTTGCGTCCTCTGGTGTATAGTGTTGTGATTGTTTGCAGGGAGGCCGCACAACGCCGACTGGCATGGACCGATACTTCAATTTAAGAAAAAAAAAACGTTAGATAAATGTTTTGCACCGGGTAGTGAAGTACTTGCATCCGCAGGGCAAAGCAGATCACACCACCGCACCCATCCTTCGTTGTTGTTCCCCATGCCATGTCCTTCCACCGGCCTTGTAGCTGAACCTACTTATTACTACGGGCTTTCCATGTACCCCATCCACCCTAAGCCGCCTCCATCGGCGTTGCCTGCCCTCCTCGCCCTCGCCCCCTTTCTGCTTTCTCTATCGGTAGACGTGCCAGCTGGCGTTGGACCTGATAGCCTGGCGGCGCAAGCAAGGGACCAGTCCTTATGCAACCGCAACAGGAGACGGGGGCAACGCAGATGGGGGGCTAGATGCGAACCCATACCAATCCGTGGACCCCGCGCCCAGCTGCGGCGAGGGTAGCGGAGGGGAAAAGATTGGGGAGGGGACGGAGGAGATGGGGAAGAGGCTTCGCGACGGAGACAGGACCCTCTTTGAGAGATACAGGTGATGTGGGCTTGCAGGTTTTGGGTCTTGTGTGTGGTGCTGAAGTGGTGTGATGAGGATTAAGGCGTGGGGTTTCGGTTTGCAGTCTCAAATTGTTCTCATGTATGCAGCTGTTCGCTTCAGAGTGGGGGTCGCAGTTGCTGAAGCGGGCTTGGACACGAGGGCCGTCCGTTGCCCGGTCACAGATTCTAGGAGGGAACGGGCTGCTTAACGCTATCGAGTGACAACAGGCAACGACGATCAAGGGCTGGTGTGCGTATCCGCTCTACTGTTCAGTGGCATGATCAGCTGGGCTACGCTGTGTTTTTTCGGTGCATCTAACAAGCTTTGGTTCAGTGTGCAGGACAATCGCTGTCTCGGAGCCGCAGTCCCGCCGCATGTCACCGTCTTTCGCGGGTCTGCTGGTTTATGTTTCTTGCCTGGATGAAGAGGTCGGCTTTGCACCCGCTCTGGTTCCGCTCCTCCTCTTTCTTGCCTCTTGTTGCCCTGTATTTTTTCATGAACTCCAGCCAGCCCAATGTATCCCACGTCTATGTTGGCCACAAGCGCCCGGTCCACACGAGCGAGTACTTTCTTCACGCCCCTGCGGCAGTGCGCCACTTGCTGGCACGCAGTGGTATCGTCTGCCGGCGTCAGCCGTTGAGGCCACGTGCGGGGGATTTCGTCGCGGAAATGGCGGAAATCCCTTGTTGGAGACATTTCGCTCTTTGTGGCAAAAAAATGCGGGATGGGGCTATAGGTGGGGCGGAGACACGACGGGACCGGGCGTGCGCAATTATTTGGGACCCGAACGTGAAGGCGTGAATTTTTGTCCGGCAATGCTTTCGTCGGTGCTCGCCGCGCCGTTGGTATGCGGGCCGGATGGCGTGCACGAACACATGTTTTCCCTTCAGAGTATACTTTTTTTCTTTTGCGTTTTTTCCGCCCACGCATCGCTGCTCTTGTCGTAGTGGGGCCAAGTTGCGGAATGACAGAGTTACAGAGGCCGAGGACACGTGTAGTCTTGTCTTGGCCCCGGTCCTACAAATGCCTCTGTGGATCGCGCCGGTGTCCACCTTGCATTTGCAGCCTCCTCGACGCCACCGATCATTTGCTTTCCGCACTCGGGACCCTCTCTCTCTTTCTTTTTCTCTCTCTTTCTCTCTCTCTTTCTTTCTCTCCCTTTCTTTCTCTCTCTCTCTCTCTCTCTCTCTCTCTCTTGCTCTC